AAAAAAAAAAAAAAAAAAAAAAGGGATATTTATAGTTTCAAAATAGGGCCAAAGTGTATTTGAACAAACTTAGAGGTTAAAAAATATAAATTAGGGGGTAAAGGGTGTTAGGGGGCTAGGGAGGCAAAAATAGCCGTTTTTTTCCGTTGTCAACGGCTATTTTTTAAAAATAACCGTTGGCTAACGGTGCAAAAACGGCCACATTTTAAAAAAACAAACAAAAAAACTTAAGGTTGCCGGTACGGACTGGTCCGGTATCGGTACTAAAGGTATTTTTTATGGTACTCTACCATTACCTTTACCCTTTATCCAAATCCTTCACCCTTACCCTCAATTTGGAGCGGTACAGTCCGGTACGGGTACCGGTAATACCGTCCCCTTAGACAACCCTACTGTACGGGAAGAAGAGGTGTGCCCGTGGAGTAAATAATGATGTCAATAAAAATGTTATTAATAATGAATTGTCGCCAAAATGGAGCGATGTGGGCAGTGAAAATTTACATAATATATTTGCCTGAACTTGTTTGAGATTGATGAATCTTAACCTAAATATCAAGGCTTAACCCAATAATGAAGACGTGGAATGACCAAATCAATGTCGGGCCATGGACTATAAAATGTAAAGAATTCGAATGATGTTTCTCCACGTAATTTGTCCAGACGGGCAAAGCAATTGTAAGGCTTTGGTCATCTCATACGTCAGGTTTCCACAAATAAGTGGCATTAATTCCGTCTACAGTTGATTATCTTACGTTCCCAAAATGGGGACTATCGGGTAAATTTCTTCCTTGGCGAAAAGTCAAGAAATCCACAAAAAGATGCGTATCGCATCTGGAATTCTATATTAATCCATTTTAGTGTTTTGGTCAAGTTTTGATCGTTTATCAACATGCATCGCAAGTAGCGGCAGAGCCATGATTTTTATTAACACTACAAGAAATTGAGGATACGACGACATTTATTTAGTGACTATTGAAATAAATGTCGGGAAAAAAGAATTTTTTGACATTTATGACAAAATGTCGTAAAAACTACGACATTTGATATAAATTGTCGTCGAAACAATGACATTTGATACTAAATGTCGTAAAAAAATGACATTTGATACAGAATATCATAAAAACAACGACATTTGATGTGAAATGTTGCCGGAACAATGACATTTTTGAAGAAATATCGTAAAAAGTACGACATTTGCTACAAAATATCGTAAAAACTAGACATTTGATATAAAATGTCGTAAAAAAAATGACATTTGGTACAAAATGACATAAAAACAACGACATTTGATAAAAAATGTAGTAAAAATACAACACTTATATCAAATGCTGTAAAAACATTTTGATACAAATGGCAAAAAGAAATATGACCATAATTTAAATGTCATATTATTTGTCGGTAATTACGAACATTTACATCTACTATTGAAAATTTCTCTAATTTTTTGAATTTTAAATCATTCTTGTCTAAAGAAAATATCATCCTTTATATTTAACATTTAATATTTAATTACTGATAATTACCTACAACATAGACGATTTCTCTTATTGTTGATAAATATTTTAAAAGGTTCGTCTAGGACTAGCTCCTGGACTAAGCATTTGCAACGTCTCAAGTGTAGGGATTAAATTGTGAGGCTTATACCCCAAACATATGATTATGCGCCCTAAACACGTCTATCACTCTGCGTTCGAGGCTCGCTCAACAATTACTAGATAAATCATATGTTAAAATTTCTAATTAATAGTGTTGACCCTCAAAATAGATTAACAAATGAATGATCTTAACTCAAATAACGAGTCATAGTATTGCATATTTACTAAGTGAGAACATCGTGAGGGTGAATATTATTTGAACATTTTTCCTGAATATATAAATAGCCGAACTTTATATCTTCCGCTTGCTATAATTGAGTTTTTTTTCTTAGTTTTTTATCTCCCAAAATTATTATGAGACTTTTATTATTTTACTATTTAAAAGTAATTTTATATTTATTTATGAAGGAGTAATATTTTGAATTATAATATTGATAAAGTTTATTGATTATTTACTTTTAGGAAGGTAATTAAATTTGTAGTTTGATAATAATATATAACTTTTAGCCTTATAGGGAAGTAATCAAATGTGTGTTTTGATAATAATTTTAACACTATTGCATTATTCATACTTGTAAAACGGTTAGATTCTTTGGTCCTTTATGAGTTTGTTTAATCCTTTGATTTTTAAAACTTTTAATATACTTTCTATTCTTTTATTTTCTTTTCGATTTCTTAAACTAAAAAATATAAAAATTTATGAAGCTTACACCTCACCTGATATTAAATAAAATTCTCATATCTATCATGCATGCCTCGCATTTTAAAATATTGTTCCTATTTAAAACTTTTTATTAAAATATTAATGTTTAGTAAAAATATGTATATTATTATTACTAATACTTACTAGATGTTGGATTTATTTAAACATAAAATATATAAAATAAAAATATTTATAGGACCAAGGAACCCATACAATTGACCATAAGTTAAAAACATAATAGAAAACCAATTGACATTAAGTTAAAATAGAACCCCACGTACTCCAAGCCTTAGAAAACTATCGAATCCTATCTCAATCAAAACCGGGTCTGGCTCAAAATTTCAAATTGGGTTTGGCCAGATTTTCTACAAGGAGCTATGTATGGAGAGTATTGGAGATTTTGAAGGAAACTATTTTGGTTGGTAAGATTTTTGCTTCCCTCCTCCCAATTCTAAAAAAATACAGTTTCCTTCCTTAGTTAGAATTCTTCAAAAAACCTAATTTTTTACATTCGGCTGTGCTATCATAGATACTTGGAGACGAAAATCTCTGAGGCTTTTGCTGCTGAGATTCACAAAGGTTATTTCCTACAAATTCAAGGTACCCACTTTAGTTAACAGATATCTTTCTTTTTCTTAGTTGTTCGGATTTGGGTTAACAAATTTCTTTATTTTTCTTAATTATTCAGATTTGAATTAACAATTTTCTCTTTTAGGTATTGATTGGTAGATTGATTTTGATTTTTTTGGTGTGTTTCTGGGTGTTTGTTGTTTAGTACATTTATAAAGTTGGATATAAGATTTTCATTATTTAGTGGTAAATTGATTTTGATTTTTTTGGTGTGTTTTTGGGTCTTTATTAAAAGTTTGCAGTGTTCAAATTATTGATTTGCTAATTGAACATAAAAGAATTTGTTAATGAAAAGACTTCAAATTCATGACAAGCATATGGAGACATGCGTGTATCTGCATCACTCTGTTCTTGAGAAACAGAGGTACAAAAATCCAAAACAATGGCATCAACTTGACTTAATAACTAAATAAATATTCTAAACTAGGAAGTCCTCTTTTTATTGGAGCATGAATATATATTTTATTGAAATGGTGAAATAACTTTACTCTTGAATTTACACTAGCTAGATATATGTAGTTCAACTAAACATCTACCAGAGACACTAGAGATAAGATGTAGTAGAAAGGAGCCAAGTCCATCATGTGAAGAGTGTGATACCTTAACCAAAGTAGCTATTTCACGCACTTGCAAAAAATTTCCTCTGTTAAGGAAGCCCAAAACCAGTTAAAATTTTATATGCACCAATCAGTCAGACAGACAATCACAAAGGTATAGGATGAGAAATTTTTAGGTTTATATATATCCTAGTTCCAGACAACTACTAAAAGTAAAACAATGAGAAATTGGTAGTTTTACTCATAATTCACCATCTACTACAGTTCTTTTGTTGTTTCTGACCTTTTGCTCTTTTACATAGGTAACCTGATAAAATACTATTTCACAATTCACATATGAAACCTCTGTAATTTTGAAAGCCGACACAAGACATAATAAGAGAAAAAGAACAACATTTCTTCTCTTTAATAGACAACATCTGCCATAACTACCCTTTCTCTTTAGCCCTTTTTACCTTTTTCTTTTACCAAAAGATAAAGAGGATGTGGTCACCCTCCTACGAAAAAGCTGTTATTTATAGCAAACCCCAAAATAAAATCTAGTGTAAAACACCCTCCCTTTTTCTTCTCCATTTTAGTCTTTCGATTTCCTCTATTCTATATATACACACATGTTTCCCATCTCTTCTTCTATTCTTCAGGAAGATATGATGGGTTGTTTGTCCATTACTTTGCTTCTGCTATATTTCCTTGTTTTAGCTTCTTTCTCCAGTAATTTTAATTTCAACAACTTGATGTGTAACGTTTGCTATCTGATTATTATTCTTTTATAGCAGCTTACTCTTTCCTAATGAGCTTATCAATAATATTTCTACAAATCAAACATTATCTTGGAAATAAGATCATTCAAGAGGAATCTTTCAACTGAGATTATGTTGCTAAGTGGACAATACCAAGCTCTTCACAAAGTAATTAGCTCGCAGAAGCTATTATATTTGTAGATGACCTCTGCATTAATTATGAGACAAGACAGCCAGTCAAGTCATTACTTTCCTAAATTTGAATTTTGCGATTTATTTATGCATTAGGTGAGAACTAAAAGGACATGGGTCTACAGCTATGTCTATCTTAGAGAACCTAGATCATCTAGTTTATCACTTCTAGTACGTAGGTTTTCACCTAAGATGAGATTTGATGCCATCGACAGGACAAATTCAAACTTGTCTTAAACAAACTCAATCAGTATTTTGTTAGCATAAACTCAATCAACATGGTTCATGGATCAAGTTTGTAAGATTTACTTGAAAAAAATAAAGAAACTAGATATATTTTTTTCCATGCTCTGAGTGAATACATTTATATAGTCATTAGTAAAGTGTATAAATTATAATATATATTCGTATTCTGTGATATGCTCTTTTTAGTTTCTATCTATAAGTACTCTTTTTTAGTTGATTTTTTGCTATATGTATAGGTTATTCTTAATGGATAAGAGTTGGATAAACATATTGAATAGGAATGATCCTCTATATGAGAATGGAGCCAAAAAGTTTCTTCATTTTGCCTCATTAGATAGGCCTAATGCATCTGAAATCTTGTGTCCATGTCAGAAGTGTCGTAATATGAAATTTATCCCGAAAGAGTTGATTGTTGAACATATTGTGGTTGATGGATTTCTATCTAGTTACGTTAATTGGATTTTTCATGGTGAGACATCATCTTCATCAATGTCCGTAGATAGATCAGATATAGGTGATGAAATAAAAAGTTTGGTGCATGATGCTTTTGGAGTTCCTCCTACTAGTGACTTTATTAATATGTACACTCGTGGTGATAGCTTTGGTGGGTCAAATCAACATAATGTGGGATTTGATAAGAAAACTGAAAAGTTTTTTAACTTATTGAAAGAAGCTGAGCATGAATTATATCCTGGAAGCAGATATTCACTTCTTTCTTTTCTTGTTCGTCTATTACATTTAAAGTGTCTCAATGGGTGGAGGAACAATTCATTTTCCATGTTGTTAGAGTTGTTAAAAGATGTGTTTCCTGAAGGTGAAATATTACCTAAGTCCTTTAATGATGCAAAAAAAATTATTAAAGATTTAGGACTCGAGTACAAAAAAAAACATGCGTGTCCAAATGATTGTATGATCTATTGGAGTGAGACAAAAGATCGAACTGATTGTAAGTTTTGCAAAGCTCCAAGATACAAACAATTTGTAGGTGAATCTGGTAGTTTGGAAACCTCAAAAATTCCGGCAAAGGTGTTTAGATACTTCCCATTGATACCGAGGCTTCAAAGATTATTCATGTCATCTAAAACATCTACTGATATGAGATGACATGCGGAAGGTCGCACTAAAGACGGGGTAATGCGGCATCCTGCTGATAGTATTGCTTGGAGAAAATTTGATGAATCGCATCAAGATTTTTCTCAAGATCCTCGAAATGTTAGACTTGGATTGGCTTCAGATGGATTTAATCCATTCAAGTCTATGTCTATCTCACATAGCACATGGCCAGTTATCTTGGTTCCATATAACTTGCCACCTTGGTTGTGCATGAAACAACCATACATGATATTATCAATAATTATTGATGGCCCTCGTGCACCAGGCAATGATATTGATATTTATCTACGACCGTTAATTGATGAGTTAAAAGAATTGTGGGTTGGCGTTGACACTTATGATGCGTCAAAGAATCATATGTTTCAAATGCGTGCTTCATTGCTTTGGACAGTCAGTGATTTTCCAGCACTAGGTAACTTATCAGGATATGGTGTGAAAACTAGATATGCTTGTCCATGTTGTCTGACCAAGACTAAATTTGTGATATTGAAATATGGGCGAAAATATTGTTTCATGTTGCACCAGCGTTGGTTACCCGATGGGCACAAGTTTCGAAAAGATAAAATTTCGTTTGATGGTTTTAAGGAGTTAGAGGGAGCACCTAAATGTTTGTCAGGTATTGAAGTTCTTAAGCAATTAAAAGGTATTAAAAATAAATTCGGAAAACATCTATTGGCAATGTCCAAGAAAAGAAAATGGAAGAATTCTGATCATGTTGACGATGCCATGTTGCAATATTTATGGAAGAAAAACAGCATATTTTTTGAGTTAGACTACTGGAAAGACAATATGATTCGTCATAATCTTGACACAATACATATCGAAAAGAATGTATTTGACAATATATTCTGGACATTACTAAATGTTGACGGAAAAGGAAAAGATAATCTGAATTCTCGTTTGGATTTACAAGAGATGGGGATTCGAAAGGCTTTGCACCCTAAAAAAAAAGCTAATGGCAAATACTATCTACCTCCGGCATGTTTCACTTTGAGCAATGCACAAAAAGATATTCTCTTACAAGTTTTAAGAGATGTGAAAGTACCAGATGGATATGCTTCAAATATATCACGTTGTGTTGATCTTAAGCAACGCACTGTGCATGGATTGAAGAGTCATGTCTGCCATATTTTAATGCAACAACTCCTTCCTACTGCTTTGCGAGGTCTCCTTCCAATGAATGTCCTTAGGCCAATGATTGAATTAAGTAATTTTTTTAGGGGCATTTGTTCAACAGTTATGAACATAGGTGAATTAGAAAAGCTCCAAGATCGAGTTGCAATAACTCTTTGTCATTTGGAAAGAATATTTCCTCCATCCTTTTTTGATATCATGGTACATCTAGTCATCCATTTAGCTGAAGAAGCAAAGATTGGCGGACCTCCACAATACCGTTCAATGTGGGCATTTGAAAGGTACTATTTCGTTTTGTACTTATGAAGTATTATATTGAATTATAATATTATTTATTATTTTAGGTACTTGCTTACTCTTAAAAATTATGCGAGGAGTAGAAGCCATCCAGAAGGTTCAATTGCAGAGGGATATTGGATAGAAGAGTGCATGACATTCTGCTCAAGATATTTACATGATGTGGAGACAAAGTTAAATCGACCTTTAAGAAATTATGGTTTGTATAATGAGATTCCAAATCAAGAGGGTCGTCAGTCAACTAAAATTGATGGGTTTACGCTTGATGATATTACTCATGCCCAAGCACACAGATATATTTTATTTAATTCTGCTACCATAACGCCATACCGCGAGTAAGTATTCAATAATATTCTGCTTTATAATTAATTATTAAGTAATATAAAGTTTTTGTTTAATTCTTTTATTAAGTTTTTAAGTGTTTTACTTTTGCAGTGAGCATATAAAAGAAATCAAGAAGCAAAATCTTCGTCTATCGAGACATGATGTGGATAAGATTCACAATGAAAAATTTCACATATGGTTTAGAAAACATGTAATTGTGAACCAGCTAGAATACTTTTACACACACACACACTATATATATTATAGTATCGATTTTTAATTAGTTCTTGCTTATTTATAGGTTGAGAAGATACATATGGCAGGTGAACAAATACCAGAAGAAATTCAAAATCTAGCGATTGGCCCATCAAAGCAAGCAAAAAGAATGAACAGATATATAAGTAATGGAGTTAGATACTTAACAAAGTCTCGTGATGCAAAGCTAAAAACACAAAATAGTGGAGTTATGGTAAAGGCTGCCACTCAGAGCTATGCAAGCGCAAGAGACAGAAATCCCATATTGAGTTGTATTATACCGCAAACCTCAAGTTTATACTATTTAGATGCGAATGGGTGGACAACAACAAGGGGCTTATTGTGAAAGATGATTATGGATTTACTCTTGTTAATTTTTCTTAGCTACTCTACAAAAGGCAGCACCTGTCAAATGAACCTTTCATCTTTGCTTCTCAAGCTCAACAGGTGTTTTATGTCCATCATCCAATGGCAAAAGAATGGCGGATTGTAGTTGAAATTAAACCAAGAGGTTTTATTATTTAGGTGAAAATAAACCAGCAAATGAGCAAATGGAAGAGCACATGGAATTGTGGCCCGAACAACAGCTGGATGATACTATATTTGAAAATGAAGAGGATATTAAATGGGTTAGAGAGGGTGTGCCGGGAATAGAAATTGACCCACTTACTTTGGAAAGTAATGAAACATATGATGAAGAAGACGACATATCTTAGTTACTCTTATTTTTTTTGTCACTATTTTAGTAAAGATTGTTATTAAACATAGATCATCGAGTTGGGGATTTCTTATTGTGCTTTTTAGTTGTTTAAATCTCATATGCGTATGTGTCCTTTTGTTTGGCTTGCTAGTTTGATATTAATTTATACGTCTGGACAGTAGAAAATATTTTTCAATTTTGCAGGAACATAGTTTTTGAGCAACTTTGTTGTGATGGCAAGAAAAAGATAGAGAAATTCTAGTCAAGAAATGCTTTTGCCTGATTTTCCGGAGCAACAAGAAGAACAAATGGGAGGTGCGGCGATGCCTCAACCACCTCAAAACTGGCCACAAAATGAAAGACAAGCTATCCGATCTGGAAAATCAAGAAATAATTCACATGAAGCAGAAAATTCTCAAGGTACTTATTCTGTATAATATCTTATCTTTATTGAATAGTTGCACTTTGTGTATTTGTGCACTTTTTCCCAAGCAACCAAGAAGACCTAAATGTAAAATATCAACTCAAGCAAATCCACCAAGAGTACTTGTACCTTGACCGCTCATCACTATACCTACCTGTATTGCTGTAATTTTTTTTTCCAAAAATATATATGCTTCATTTACGGCAGTTTTTCCTCTATCACTCTTTTATTCTAATCCCTTGGTATTAATGGAGTGTTTATATGTGAATTTTAAAAGAAGAAAAAAAGAATTAATTGAGTTTTACTAGTTATGGATGACTCTCTTTTCTATATTTGGTTATTGCAGACTCTAGTGCTAATGAAGAGCAATCTAAGTGACCTAGGGGTCCTACTATGATGCACTCAGGATGGGGAAAAGATGGTGGCATTTTACATGTTGAGTTGAATAATCTTAGTCAATCTATTGGACCTGATGCAGCTAGATTGAGCTCAAAACTTGGAGTTATAACACGAAATGACATTTTAGCTCCTTTAAATCATAAAGATTGGAGGCTTGTGCCTAAACCGTACAAGGATATGATATGGGCTCATATTAAGGTGCTTAGAAAATTAAAGAAAAAGGTTATATACTAAGATGCTTATTGATTTTATGTTTTTATACATGTGTTATATGTTGATGTTGGCAGGAAAATACTGATGCAACTGAGGATATGAGACGTATGTTGATGATATCGGTTGGATCTAAATGGAAAGAATGGAAGCATGAAGCAAAAATGATTGGTTATGAGCCATACAACAACGATATCGAGCGCTTAGCTAAACATCCAGACAGGGTAGAAGAAGACCAGTGGCGTGCATTAGTTCATTATTGGAGCTCTAACGAAGCAAAGGTATTCTCCGAGCATCAAGCATCTTCTTTTCTTGCCCTTAGCACATGCTATTATGCGGATCATACTTTTCTTTTAAATATTTTTATGCTTTTCCTCTGTAATTCTTGTTATCTTTTCTCTTTTTTCTTTTAAAAGTTTTATTCTTTGGTATATGATGTTTGGCCATGAATTACCTTTAATACTTATTTTCTTGAATATATTTGCAACAATTTTTTTACTATTTAAACAGATGACAAAGAAGAATGGTGTAAAACCAAGTCGTATCGATGTATTCAAAGAAACACATACGAGAAAGAATAAACAACCAGTAAATGAGATAGCTGATGAAACTATGGTAAATTCCCATTCTTTATGAATATGAATTACTTTCTTTCCAATGTAAGATTTTAACTTTGTATTGTTTTACCTTTTCTTTCCAAAAGAAAGAAATGGATGAACTTGCTAAGGTGTATCCGAGTTAAATGTCCCTAGAAGTGCTCCCAATGATGTGTATGCACAGGTTATGGGACCAGACACTCATGGAAATGTTCGAACTTTAGGAAAAGGAGCAGCTCCAAGTTTTGTTTATGGCTCTGCATATAAGAGATCCCAGGCTGAGCAAAGAGATTTTGATAGAAAGGTTGAGATAGAAGTTGAAAAAGCTACCTCTGCTATGAGAATTGCAATGGAAGAAAAATTGTCTGAAGCAAAAGAAGAAATAGAAGCGACGGAGAAAAAGTTATTTGAAGCAAAAGAAGAAATAAAAGCGTTGGGGGAAAAATGTTAGAAGCATCAAAGGATATGGATGCAAAAATAGACGATAAAGTAAAGTTTGGTATACATGCATATCTAGAATCATTGGGTATTGCTATTGGCTCAATTAAGAAGTTATCTGGTGATGAGCAGGTAAAAAATATTGTGCTCTTTAGCAAAAATTTATTGTATTTAAGATAATCTTGTAATTTAGTTTTCTTTTAACTGTAGTAATTTTCCTCTTTTGTGATAGGTTTCTGATAACTCAATGGACGAGTACCAACAATCACTATCACCTGTTTCACTTGTTCACACAAAGATGGTGAGTTCGTAAACTCATTTTAACTAAATCTTTTTCAGCATACATTCGATAAGTATAATTTTAACTATGTCAATTTTCACTTTAGTTACGTAAAGCTTCAAAATAGCACTTTAAAGTATAGAGGGTATTTTACAGTTAAAAAGATTATCAAGCTCCAAAGTAAGTGGATGTAGCAGTCTGAGCTTTGATCATGGGTGTCCATATTTGTCTATACATATTGGTTGGTGTTACGATAAAAAAGAAAAAATACCCAATTGTAATAGTTAGTATTAGAGCCATTATAATTGCTTGGAAGCCATTGTTGTTGCTTGATAAAGGAGAGGACGATTTTTGGGCAACAGTTGTTGAATCCATTTTCTTTTTTCTCTCCCTCTACCTCTCTCTTTCTTGATGATAATGAGTTAAAAACTTTTGGATGGAAAATGTTGAAAGGAATGAAGTCTTATATAGTATAAGAAAGGAATTGATATACTATTTTTTTTTCCAAGTGTAGAAATGTGAGCTCATCCTAATATATTCTTGAAGTAGCATGATTCATGTCCCTACATCTTTGTATTACGTTTAAGGCAGGGAAATTCTTTTATTTTGTTCATTTTACATCATATATATATATATATATATATATATATATATATATATATTAGGAGGTCAACTAGGTGGGAATTGAGGGAGAATGAGTATGTCCTCTCAAGGATAGGTGATAAATCACCTTTTCTTACTGCCTCTGCCCTGCATTGTTGAAAAATTGCATCCTCTTCTCCTTCCTCATAAATGTCTCTTCCCACATTCACTGTATGCGAAAAGTTATCGACGATGTCCTGGGGCGTCAATGCATTTCCATGTTGTGTATTTGCCGAAGTTGTAGTGTTTTGATGTTGTTCTATGGCTTGCATGTTGTTCTTGTCCTTATTCACCTTTCCTGTGCTCACAATTTGCATTGAATGTATAGAGTTTAAAGGTTTAGGATTTACCAAAGTGTCAAGTAACATTCTATCCTCCGACGAAATGAGATCATGCTGCTTTTGTACAGTAGTTGGGAGTGTTACTGCTGCACCTGGAGAACCTTCCCGCTGCTGTCCTATATTTGGGTGGTCAATTTCACCACCTTGCATATCTGCTTTGTTGTTCTGCTGTACTTCCTTAATAGACTTCACTGTAGTAGCTGAGGGATTACTAGGAACAAAAACAGGAGCATTGGAGTTAAGCTTGCTTTTTGGAGGGGACATCGAAGCAATGTGTTTTATTGGCATAGGTGAGCCAACTGAGAGCATGTATTCATCTCCACTCTCTTGAATATCATCATCAGTAGAATCTTCTTCAATCCCCAAGTTCTCCTCTCCATCTTCATCGTATTGTTCATCTCATTTTCTGGATTTGCTGACAATGTCTCGCAAGGTTGGTTGTACAATTTTATTGTTAATTCCAGTGGTTAACATGAGTTGCCTAGAATCACCTTCAAATTCACCACATGATTCCTCTGACTGAGATGGTACTTCAAACCCAGAAGTATTTAGAGTAACCAGTGGTTGTTTTACCAATGTTGGATTCAACGTCATTGCTTTTTGTGCCTCCTTGATTATTTCTTCTACTTGAGGGCTGGAAAATTGCAGAATGGGCGTATTGGAGCTGTGAGCTTGAGTTGTATGTTGTGCACCTACTTCTGCTTGTATTGCATCAGTTGAGACTGCATCAGTTGTCTCGTTGAGTAATGCATCAAATGAATTAGAGAAGCCAATATGCTTTGATGTTGTGATCTGTTCTTGTAGCCCTGGAGATCTCCTATAATTAGGTGATCGTTGTTTGAAATTATGCTGCTGTTTCTGTCTAGCCTGCATATTGCTTGGCTGCTGTTGCTTCAATTCTTTTGGAGATGCACTCTGCCTTGTAGTTGATTTCTCCACCATTGTCCAATCATATCGTACTGCATACATGTTTCCATTCAATTTCCTCATAGGTGTTTATAGCAGTAGTAGTAGTAACAGGAGAGTAAGTTGTTGTTGTTGTTGTAGAACCTGGAAGAAAGAGTAAGTTGATGACTCTTGCCTAGATGAGGGAAATAAAGATCTATGATTGAAACGCTATCATATTAGGAAATAACATTTATTATATGACTTTGTTCTGTTTTTTTATATCTTGTATTCACAATTTTTTAAGTTGTAAATTTTGTAAACTACCATAGTAACCAATCTATAATTTCTTCTCAGGTTAACATAATCAAGAAGATTGGAGTTAGTGAAGTTGGCACAAAGAAAAAGAAGCGGGTAAGTGTGAAAAAATTATAAGGTTCTTGGGTGGTTGCGTTCACTTTCTTGGATTTTTTGCTTTATGTTGTCTATTTCTTTCTCTCCAGCTGCTAGTATTATATTCATTATCATTTTGTTTCTCTTTTAGAACACGAATCTGTTATTAGTTTTAATATTCCAATTGTTTTAGAGGAGGAAAGAATTCACTTTATTATAAAGGTATAATTCTTTTTTTTTTTCTTGTGACTTCTTGTGCAGCATTCTTGAAGGAAGTGATGTCAATTACTAGCAGTGAAAAGCTTGACTTGTGGAGAGTTGGTTTTATAAGATTTAGTTTAGAAGTTGAGGAAAATTAATTCGAATAGGAGCGATCTTAAAGTACTTACACATTGAAATTACTATCTTTTATGATTTAGTTAGATTTGGGTTTTACGTGAGAACAAATCATTTAATTTGATATTATCTATCTTGTACTAAGTACGTTTTATATTGCATTTTGTTCTTTGGTTATTGTGCTAAAAGATATTTGCTTTACATTTATTTAATGTTTGTTATAAAAGTTGACATTTGTGAATGTAAATGTGTTCATGATGAAACTAAACAGAACATTATTATTTACATTCTAAAACATATGATAGCCACATTAATTTAAATGTCAAAACATTTAATTCGACATTTTGTTATGTTGTAAAAGATGTCACTAATTTTTTTTTAATGATATTCACATAAAGTGAAAACGGTATTTTGTATATGTTATGAATTTTCTTAGTGACATTTACCGTAAATGTCGTATATTTCAATATGACATTTTGTGAAGATCATACGTAAATGTCGTATTTTTTTAGTAACATTAACCTAATTGTCGAAAATTTTAAGTGACATTTACTATATGTTGTAAACCAAATGTCATAACATTCTTACCGATATTTCCCTAAATATCGTAAATTAAATGTCATAAATTTCTTATTGACATTTACCTAAATGTTGCAAAGTAAGTGTCGCAAATTTCTTATCGATATTTACCTAAATATCGTAAAATAAATGTCATAATTCCTTATTGACATTTACCTAAATGTCGTAAAGTAAGTGTCATAATTTCTTACCGACATTTACCTAAATGTCGGAAAATTACGACATTGAAATTAACGACATTTGATGCAAATGTAAATTAAATGTCGGTAAATAAATTTGTGATATTTAAACAGCATAATACGACATTTTTTAAATGTCGTCATATCTCCACTTTCTTTTAGTGTAAGGAGATTCAACATAAACTATTTATAGATAAAACTAATTTTGACCTTGTATATACAGTATAATTGTTTGTAGAAAAGGTTCAGATGAACTCCCTTATGCTCACGCTCACGCTCCGCCCCTGCTTGCAAGTCATGATATTTTATTTGATCATCAATCCAAATTTCATAATTTTCATTACGGTTTGACAGCAGAGCAAGTTTTGCTAGGAGAATATTATTTACAGATTGAAATCTTGTCGCTAATTTCAGTGGATCGAATTAATATCATGACTTGCAATACGTACTCTTCAGAACTTGAGAAAATGTATATATTTGTACTAAATCCTAGTACACAATTCAATCAATCCTTTGTTTTGAAAGAACTCTTCAAGGACCAAGCGATTCCTTTCCTTCCTACTTCATATAAATAAATCTAAAACCCCAGAAAATGTCACAAATGCGTGTAATGTGTGCATGTCAATCGACTTAAAATTTTAACCCATTTCTATTGATAGTGATGTGTCTGATGGCTCTGATCTTGGTTTGCCTTGACTTGATTTGATTTTTAGTTGTTTTTCTAATGGGGCTTGTATATTCTTTAATGTGCTGACCAATAATTGAAAACCATACACATTCATTAATGTATATAAAGCTATAGCCGCAGAGGAATATATTAAGATTATAATTAAATATTCTGAAGTGATCTAGAGCTGAGTCATTTGGAATATGGACATGCATGGTTCTCGTCATATTATTGTTCGTATTACTTCTATTAATTAGTTGGCAATTAAGGTCCAAATTCATATAGTCCATAAAAATTTCATTTGTTGATGTGGTCATGTGGCTGCAAAATTTGAGAGTATAAGAAAGAAGAATAAACTTAGAATCTGGTCTATTTGCGCACGGTTAAGCTTTCATGTTAGCACTTGTTAAGTATTGAGACAATGGATTACCTGCGAAAACTACACTAGTACTACTTCATTGTGTCATGTGTGAGTGGACACACACACACACATATATATATATATATATATATAACTTCTCGAAAAAGAAAATTGCTGCAGAAGTAGATTGAAATATGTTACTTCTTAACTCCTTGTTTGGCATTGGTAACTTGTTGGCTCGATTAATTCGAATTCAGGCAGGTAGACTACTATAAAAAGGTGAAGGACTTCGATTTAAGTTAGGAATGACAAAGTAACTTTGACAATCATCGTCAAGAACATATATGTTTGCCACACACAAAAACTTATTTACATCATTTTAATCTAAATAATTTATTTAATTATGTAATTATATTCGTTAACCAAATATGATAATAAGAATTTTATTGTAATTATGTTATGACAAACGAATATGTCAATATAATTACTATACTGTGTAATTATTAGAGTGCATAATTAGTAACCTAGTAATTACACTGTCCAGTAATTACACATGGCTTTTCAGACAGATCCCTAAAGTTTTGCCAATAAGGAACTCAGAAACCTTGTTTTTAATTTTTACCCCTTAGTAGATAAAACATCTAGGCTTTTACAGCTTGTTTGGATGATTGTTGCATATTGTATTGTATTGTATTGTTATCTCAAAATAATATTTTCTTATTGTTTATTTAAAATTAATTGTATCATGTCTACTTGACTTTCCACTTTATTTTCTGAATAATCAGTCACTGATTTTTAAAGTGACGATAATTATTTCAGTAACTTTTAAAAAGAAAAGGATATTGATGATCATTTGAGAAATATCTCATATAGTTGATTATTATAAGAATAAATTGATAAAATGTGTCAGTCGCTATCAACAATGATTCAAGCATGTATTAATAACGCCTTCAATCTGAATTGGCTCTACTTTTTTTATTAGTGGTGTAAGGATGACATGATAAGTCAACTCAATCATCTACTATGATTTTTCTGATTCACGTCTGTGTACAATTTTGATTCTCAAACATCATAGCAAAGACTTAAACCAGCTGTCACATACTTTTTTTTTTCACCCGGTGTGCACGATTCGGGAGAAGCGCTCCTAGCAAGGATTTTTTCATACTCAAGGCTCAAACCCTTAACCGCATCACATAATTTAACTCTAAAGTCTGCAGAAAACAAAATCTCTTCATATGAACTTTTGACTTACAATTTATTTTGATCTGTTTCTTGGGGTAACTACAGTGAAAAATGGTTGCTTTTGGGAAGAAGTTGAAGGAAAGGCAAATCGTGGAATGGCAAGGGTGTGTCCATTCTCCTTTATAGACCTAGTCTCTGTATCCTCTTTTTTCTTTTTTTTTTTGGTTTAATGTATATATTCCATTAATTTTTATTCATATATGCGGACTATGCAGGATTAGTTCCCTTGAATCCTGTCATTTGTTTATGTTTAGTTTTTCTTCCAACTTAGCTATCTTTAAGTGTGTTAGTCTTAAAACTAATTATGCTTAAGAGAAATAACATGCTCTTAAACTCAAGTATATGCTATCTGCCTCTTGAGCATAAACTTGGTTGGAATTCTCAATGATAATGTTATTTGATTAAAAAAAAATATATATTATCACTTAGAACAGCAAACAGGAAGATACATTGCTTAAAAAGAAAGCAAATTCTGCTTCTGGTTGTTTTGTGCTAATAAAAGAGATAAGGGTTAACTCTATGTTGCACAGACTCTCCAAAACAGTTGTCACACCCGTGTCGGATCCTCCAAAAATGCACTATTTTTGGAGGATCCGATATGCACCCATCGACATTTTCGGAGAGTCCGAGCAACATAGGTTAACTTCCCTCAATTCATATGAAGCAAAGTGATTGAGCAAACAGAGAAATCAGGCACTACCACTTAATGAGTGGAAAGGAAACAAGAAAGCTACAAATAGTTTGAATTCCAATGTTATGTTTATTTATGAGGATTATCTTGTACTTTCAGATACTATATCAATTACAAAGTAATGAAGAAGAAGGTAAAGCAATACGCTGATCAAATCCAGGCTGGAGCACTCAATCAGCGATATGTTCTTAAGGATTTCTCAAGAATGCTGGACAAGGAGGTATGAATTTGTGAAGTGAATATCTACTACTCCCTCAGCCCTAAATTGTTTGGTACTGTTACTATTTGGGGAGTTAAACCATTTTCAAAACATCTTAAACTATTAAAAAAGTGAGTTATAGTACTTCTATGTAATTTCTGGTTATGTAAATTTTTTGTCAAAAAGTTTAAGAAATTAATATCCTAGTCAACACTGAAAATTAGATGTTTTGACCTTCCTACTTCGAGCCCAACATTTCTTTTTGGAACGGGGTGAGTAAATCTTACTAGACATTTTGTTTAAGGAGCTGTGTGTCTTGTGAACAAGGACAAAGGGAAGGAAGAAGAGGGAAGGCGTTGATGAAATCTGAACCCTTCACCTAAGTGGCGGAGGTGAAAGTGCTGAAAATAGGCTGCAATCCAGTCTCATCTACTAAATATTTTGTTCCTCCTCAAGTTTGTCAATATTATTTTCAAGGAATGTTGTTTTATTAAGACCTAAGAGTGATTTTGATGCTTGTCAGTGGATTACTCGTTATTCTTTCAACAAAATATCTGGTGTTTTTTACCGAGCAATCCATGCCTAGTGCAACTTGAAACAGGAAAAACAAAAAAAAAAAAAAAAGTAAATAAATTTGATTTCTTCTAGTATCAACGCATTTAGTGGTTGATTGGAAGGATTCTTTTTGTAGGGAAGAAATTTCCTGGTACATTGTGGAGTACCGATGTATAAGAGCTCATGTATTTATCTTTGTAACATTTGCAGATTGAGAAAGTTGTTCTGTTTTTGTTGGAACAACAAGGAGTACTAGCAAGCAGGATATCTGAACTCAATGAACAGCAAGATTCTCTTCAAGAACAGCCTGATCTATCCAAAGTAACTGAGCTACGAGAAGGTTATAGATATGTGGGGCGTGATCTTTTAAAGCTTCTCTTTTTTGTTGAAATAAATGCCATTGGATTGCGGAAGATCCTTAAGAAATTTGACAAACGTTTTGGCTATAGTTTCACTGATTACTATGTCAAAACCCGGGCAAATCATCCATATTCCCAACTTCAGCAAGTCTTCAAGCATGTGGTATTATGCTAAACTTAACTACTAGTCTCTTCCTCTGATGATAAAGCTTCTGTTGCTACTACTTAAGTTTTACTGCTAGTACACTTAGTCTAAAGTTTCTCTCTAATGAATTTTGCTTTAAGCAGAAAAAAAAAATATAACCTAGTCATTACGCATTACAGCAGCATTGGTTCTTAATCAAACATGAATGAGGAAATGTGGATTGCCTTAACAAATTTGATAGCTCTCTTTCACCTAAAGCAAGCTGTCTGTGTGAGTAGCCCAGTGGGTGTCACTGACCAATAATGAAAATTGCAGGGATTAGGGGCAGTTGTTGGAGCGATATCTCGTAATCTTGCAGACCTTCAAGACCGTGAGGGAAGCTACTTGTCAATTTATGATCAGCCTGCTCTTCCACTTCAGGTTTTCGCCTACTTCCTTTAATCAACTTTTAGGTTTTTGTTTAGGTTTTGTTAACATAATGTTTTTTTTGGCTAGTAAAATTCTGGTTATGCTCTATTATATTCTCATACGGTATAAAGCCATTTTGCAGGAGCCCGTCGTTGATGCAATGGAAGCAGCTATTGATAGATTAGGTTACTCAACTACCTTCCTTAACTTTTCGGTCCAACGTTCACTTATCATGCTAGAAGAGTTACCTACTCCTGTTGAGGAACATGTTGATGATCAGAGATACCATTTTATGTCACTCCTCTTGAACCTGGCAAATACATTCCTTTATATGATCAATACATATATCGTTGTTCCAACAGCCGATGATTATTCTATGAGCCTTGGTGCTGCTGCGACAGTTTGTGGAATTGTGATTGGAGCCATGGCTGTTGCGCAGGTCTTTTCTTCTGTGTATTTCAGTGCCTGGTCAAACAGGTCTTACTTCAGACCTCTGGTATTTAGCAGTATAGTTCTTTTTGTGGGGAATGTGATGTATGCATTGGCCTATGATCTCAAATCAATACCAGTTCTCCTTCTCGGTCGTATATTTTGCGGGTAACTCTCTCTCCACCCCCTCTTTGAGCGAAAACATCTGTGCAAGTTTGCATGCATGCAACATTCATCACAATTACTTGAGATATTTCTTTCCTATACTTTGGGAGAAGTATGTTTAGGTGGACAGTTTATTGTGTCTTACTTTTATGCCCTTGTTGATATATTCAGCAATTTTTAAAGCAAAAAATGGACTATTGTTAATGTTATGTCTCTATATATTAGTAGTTGATGAAATTCATTAATTTATTTATTCTTCTTAAATACTTCTCACGTCGGTTCTTCCTCCTTGATTATAAATGCTCCTTTCATCCAACCAGCCGAAATAAAAAATTTCCATCTTCTCGATACTGTAGCCACATTTCCAAGATTCTGATCTAACTGTTGAGGATAGAATTTTAAAGCTAATTTAGAGCAGCTATCTCCAAAAACAGAACTAAAGGGAAGTTCCTCCCTGTATCTTCGCAAAGGAAAAAAGGTCTTCTACCTTTTGGTTGATTTCTTATCAAGAACAATAGTGCTAGAATGGAGAGAGTGGGCTGTGGACCTCTAAAGAAATCTCCTGGTCAAACATTTGCACAACTTAAAAGATTTCAGCAGCAACATAGGCCAAGAAGTTGGTCAATTATTGAGGAACCAAAACTAAGACGTCTCTTTTGGGTACCATGTGAAGCAAATAATTTCAATGGAACACTTGAGATTGTACGAACCAATAAGTTCTCACAAACAATGTGGTTTTGAGTAGCATCATCTGCTTTATCGTTTTCACAACATAATTCAGTGTCATTGTTGTCTGTTTTTGGGAGGTTACTGTGATATTCTAAAAGCAATTTGCAGTTGACTATAAGTTAACAAGATCTGGCTTTTCTCATCTTCTGAATTGCAGTTTGGGTTCCGCCAGAGCAGTGAACCGACGTTACATCAGTGACTGTGTGCCACTTAAAATCCGGATGCAGGCTTCAGCTGGTTTTGTAAGTGCTAGTGCACTTGGAATGGCATGTGGCCCTGCAATTGCTGGGCTACTTCAGACAAATTTTAAGATTTACAAGTTAACATTCAATCAAGATACTTTGCCTGGTTGGGTTATGGCTTTTTCATGGTTAATCTATTTGGTATGGTTGTCGATCTCTTTTAGAGAACCTGCTCAAGAGACTGAAGTAAACAATGTTCCTCGGAAATCTAATGCTGGTAAGTTCAACTTTTTGTTTTTATTATCAACGCTGTCACTTGTGGTCTTAATTCCAAAAATTTCTATATGAGTGCTTGTAAATTTTCCTTTCCCCTTCATTCTCTCTGTTATCCTCAAACTAAGTTGACACCAGTCAAGAGAAACAGGGGGAATGCCGAACTTTTAATTTCAAATTTTGCTGCACGACTACATAATTGAAACTGTAAGCTCAAGTTATGTGGAAGTTAGGTGAAGTACAGAAAAGAAGTAATGCATTTGGAGTTTTAGTCTATTGGTTGAATAATTATACATTCTGTTAATTTGCTATCACGCTCATGGAATTGCTAAATTCCTTGTCTTTTAGTCGCGTCGTAGGCTTGCCAGAGCACAGTCCTCTGGAGAGAGTTAGGCTTTATACTCTTGTATCCTCAAGTGAAGCCATGGTATTGTTGGTAAAACAAGAGTTTTCTTTAAATGCTTCTGATATTAAATCTTTTGATACCAGTAGAAAACGATGACCTTGAAAAAGGTGTTGTGCAACCATTGCTATTAAAATCAGCGGATGATGAACAAGAAAATGAAGGTGAATGTGATGGCAGTGAAGAAGCTCCAGAGGAGTCTCGTCGTCCAGCCAACTCCATTGTAGAAGCATATAGATTGCTGACTCCTTCTGTGAAGGTATGTGGAGATCCTTTATCTTTCCAAGGTTCATGTGCGAGTAATATTCTTTTTGCTTTACGGGTAAAAGAGTAGCCCAGTGAAATTAGATGCTTTTACTGTTCAATGGCAATTTGTCTGTTGGGAATCAACCCACTGATCCGGTGCACTTGCTTCCCTAATACTGCGCTATTAACAATTATACTAACCAATGACCATTCATGTTACTCCTTGATGCAGGTTCAATTATTAATCTATTTTATGCTGAAATATGCTATGGAGATTTTACTTTCAGCATCTAGTGTCATCACGGCATATTACTTTAGCTGGTCAACGAGCACTGTCGCAATTTTTCTTGCATGTCTGGGCCTCACAGTTCTTCCAGTAAATGTTGTTGTTGGGAGCTACATAAGTAACATCTTTCAGGACAGGTAATCTATCTTGACACAAGAACATATTTTTGAAGCTTATTTTCTTGATGCTATAAACATGACTATTTGGCTATAAACCGATTTTCCAATGTGTTACTGATGGAGACTATTCTGAAAATGTAGTAGATGTGCTTTGCTTGCAATGGGATAGTATTTAATTTATTAGAAGGATTAATTAATTGTAGCATCTTTAGTCTTTTTGAGCCTTCATGTTTGCAAACAACATCAAGTTTCTTGCTAGAATGTTTATTCATGTATTTTTATAGCCGTTCTGAACTAGTTTGGAAATAATGCATAGATGATTGACTGATTGATCAAATGCTTCTGTTCATATTGGATATTTCTCATGCTTTGCCTAGAAAATTAAAAAAGTTTTAGCAGTTATGTTGCATTAATCAATTATAGAATTTTAAAAAGTCTCATCGTGTTATTCCCAGTTTTGTAAACTGTGACTGAGTTCTTCATGACAAGTGCATTGAACTGTATAAAAGTGGAGCAATCTTACTACAGAGAGCAAGTCAAGCCCTTGAAAATTCACGATGCTCTATCATGTTGGATGTTCGCCATTGGAATTTATGCTCTATCATGTTGAATGCTCGCCATCAGAATATGATGATAAGTTTATCCTCTCTGCAGGCAACTTTTGCTGGCATCTGAAATCATGGTTTGTCTTGGTATACTCCTGAGCTTTAATGTTGTAATCCCGTATTCGGTACCACAGTATGTCTGCTCAGGCCTCCTAATGTTTGTATCTGCTGAAGTATTAGAAGGTGTGATCTCTATTTTCCCTTTATTTTACTCCTTGAGAAACATACTTTGCTCTTAATTCTCAATAGAACCTATCATGATGATAACAAAGAATAATGTAGTTCCAATGCTCAAGAGAAAACCTGGTGGAAGAGAACATAATGTATTGTTGAACTAGTAAGCTTGGACTTGTCCTCTGCTAATTTGGCGTGTATGATTGCTGCAGTGGACGGTATCATAACCATTTATAACACACTTCGGTAGTAGGACGATAGATATGTTGCATCCTAGTCTCTAGCTAATTCCGATTGGAGTGATGTCGTGAACATACTATGTTCTGTTAATACTTTGGATTTGTAGTTTTGCCTTTTAACTAGTGCAGTGCATAAGTGAGTTAAAACACAATCATGCAGTTCTTTCCACTAAATGTATCACAAGATTACCTGTACATCCCATCACAACCTAAGGAAGTTGTTGATTTAATAAAAAAAGGTCAACATAACCACATTTTAGATAAGCGAATACAGTACTGAGAACAATATTTAATTTATAGTTGGTGTTAATATTTACTAACGCGTATCATTTAAGCGGAGAAGGGTAGAGGGGCAACTGAGTTTTGAACTATGCATCACTGATCCTCGGGATTTCTCGGTTATCCAAAAAAAAAAATTCCTAAACACTTTGACATCTAACAAAATTTAGGAAGGTCTAATGGCGAAATTTTGTTGGTTTTTATTCCACTTTGCATTCCAAAATATCTATGATTTGGCTGATGACTCCAGGTGTAAATTTATCTCTTCTCTCTCGAGTAATGTCATCAAGGCTTTCCCGGGGAACCTACAATGGAGGTCTCTTGTCCACAGAAGCTGGCACAATTGCTCGGGTGATTGCTGATGTAACTATAACTCTTGGTGGATATTTAGGGCAGAGCAGGCTCTTGAATGTTACTCTTCTCCCTTCACTTTTGATATGCATAGCTTGCATTTTTGCAACATGTCGTACCTATAATTCTCTTTACTAATTCACAATCTTGTATGCATACAAATTACAACTATTGTTTTCCTTCTCTTTATGGTTTCTGAGTTGATTTGCTTGTTAAATTGAGGGATTTGAAACTTCCACTAACAAGATGGTGAGGGTACATACAAAGTGAGTTGACTCTCATACCATGTTGGATGTACTTTTGATTGGGTTTTTATGAATTATTGTTGTAAATTTTCATCATGATAAGCAGTTCATGAGTTTATTTACCTCAACTTGGTGCTGGTGGTCATGCTTGGCTGCTTGTCCCTGGAAAAATGGAACTTGTTAGTGCACATATATTCTTTAGTTGGCTATGTTTTGAGGGCGATAAATAATAGGTAAGTCTAAATTTGATCCTTGATGTGTTGGCCAACTCAATATATAGATGAAAATGTGTTGTTCTTTCTTGTGGAAATTCAATGGATTAATAGCCCGTTTAGCCAAAGCTTCTGATTTCAAACAAAAAAGAACATACAGTTTTTTAGAATTTAGAGAATGAAGTTGTTTGGCCAGACAGAAGTTGGTTTTAAGCATTTAAGTTTACGCTGAAAAGAAGTATTAGCTATTTCCAAAAATAAGTGCTTTTGATTTTTAAGAACAAGATTACTCATTCGTATGTTTTGGTGTAAACATCAGTGAGGATAATTTTACCCCAGTACAGTGAACTAAATTTTCAAACCGCACGTAACACTTAATTTATGGCCTATTTGGATGGTCGTTACCCATGGTTTTATATTGTATTGTATTGTACTGTGTTAATGAATATAATGTTTGGATAGATTGTATCTTTTATTGTGTTTTAGTAATATTTTTATTGTTTGGTTGACTGTATGGTACTGTATAATGGGTATAATGAAATAAGTAACCATGCAAAAGCCACCTAATCCGTGGTTACAAAAATTAAGCTTTTTCATAGTTATATAGCAACAGAGTTTCGACGGGTTTACAATACCATACGATATAATTTTAAGAACAATGGAAGCATTATAGGGGCGGCCCTTCCATAAAGCAAGTAAAGCAATCGCTTTAGGTCCCATATTTGTGGGGGACCCATTTTGTTACACCTAATAAACTATTCATAAGTTTAAAAAAGAGTTCTGTAAAGTGAAAATATTTGATTTTTTTCTTTAACAAATATACAGAAGAAGGATTTGCAACTACTATGATTTCTACCAAGGAAATTGCACTTGAAATGAATATCGGACCCGAATTTCACAAGAAACATGTGATATATAGGAAGTAACAATTTGATACGAATGTTGATAATAAAAAAATCTTTCGAAGAGTCCTTTAGAGTTGATTACTTTTATACATAACAGACATGGCTATTTTTTTCACTTCAAAATAGATTTGAAAATTCCGAAGCATATGAAAATATTTTTGGTTTTCTATTTGGTAGTAAAAACTAAGATCACTAGATGTTGAAAATTTAAAAAAATATTGCCTTAATCTTGAATGTTCCTTAAAGCACAATAATCAATTACATATTGATGGTTTAGATTTATTTTCTAAATTAAAGGTATTAAGGAAAATAGTACAATTAGAACATAACAGTTTAATTGATACACTTGTTCAAATAAAAAGATTTAATTTTTTTCTAAATGCCTAAATTGCTTATGGAATAATGTTCATAACTCATGTTACCGTTGCTTCAGCGGAAAGAAATGTTCAAAATTAAAATTGATAAAATTTTACCTAAGAACAACAATGTCACAAGAAAGGTTAAATGGATTAGCTATATTGTCAATTGAGAAATACTTATTAGGAGTTATTGATTATAAGAAAATTATTAATTACGTTGTATCTAAGAAAAGCTAAACAGACTTCAAATAAATAACAAAAAAAATTAAAAATTAAGGCCCCTCATAAAGTTTGGCTTTACGCCACAAAATTCGTCGGCCGCCCGCAAGCAAACATGATATTAGTGAAAACAATATAATATTGAACCACTGGAAACAACCATCCAAATAGGGGGTTAGAGAATTGGTCAAAATGGACAAAAGTTAGGACATAAAGGGGAATAATTCAATTTCCAGAGATTCCACAGGAAATTGTATTCTAAATATATACTTCTGTATAAGGAAAATCTTCACATCGATACCATATATAAACAAGTCAATCAGTAATACATAGATAAAAATTCATATGTATATACAGATCTCGCACGTTAATAATGGAAAAGAAATATTCCCACGTTAATACATGCAATCCGATCCATTTTAGAATTTACATTGAATATCGATCCGTTTTTGAAAACTATACTATACATCTATTCAATTATATAACTTCAAACTAAACAATCAAAATTGAAGAGAAAATAATTAAAGGTGAGAAAATGGCATCATCATTTTCTTCTTCTTTACTGATTTTATTATGTCTCATAGCTGCTTTTTTCACGAGTCCAAGTACGAGCAACCCTTTATCCGACGTATGTGCCAAGTCCAAAAATCCAGGCTTATGCTTGAAAGTCTTAGAAGGAAATTCTCATCAGAATCTTCATGACTTAACGGAAACAGCCATCAATTTAGCAGCAGCAAACGCCTCCGCCACGGCGGCCAAGATCAATATGCTGTTCAATCAAACAAATGATCCAAAACTGGAAGAGATATATAACTTGTGCACAACTTATTACAAAGCAGCCATTAGAACTTTGGGAAATGCTGAACAGTTTTTGAACATGGGCCAATACCAGAACTTAAATACTGCCGCGAATCTTGTTGGACAAGATGCTTTTAATTGTGAGACTGCATTTGAAGTGACACCTGGAATTGTCTCTACTATTACTAAGGACAATGATGATCTTCAGTTTCTTGGTACCATTATTGTTGCTGCTGCAGGTTTTCTTACTGGCTCGTCTCCTTAGGAAAATGCCTAGAGAGAGTGATAGGGTATAATAAATTCTCTACTAATTTAAAAACGATGTATGCAATAATACTACTCTAGAAACGTTTTTATAAATGTTAATTTAATTTACATTTAGGGATTGAATTTTCAAATGGGGGTAATTCACCGTGAATTTGAGTAAATTTTGGATGAATTAGTTAGACCCCTATTGAAACAATAAACTATATATCTTGTTTTTCATCGCTTTGAATTTTGGTTTCACCCGAAGTTACAGCAGTAGAATTTCGAATCACCAAACATTGTGGTGGAATGAATTGAATTTTTCAATCCTAAACAGTTTTGAGTTCGAGCTCTGAAAATGAAAAAAAAAAGTTGGTAAGGAGTATTTCACTCTTTAATAGGCCTTATGCGACGCGAAATACTGGACACAAGATGCGAAACCAAAGAAAAGGAGGAGCATTATGCAACGCCCGCCCTTTAATAGCAGCCCCACAGGGTATAGGCAGCTTCTAAGCCTAAGCTCATGATTAAAGCATGAGAATATGGGAGTAATTATTTTTTTAATCTCATTCTTCTTGATCTGAATCAGGATAATGCACCTTTTTCTCTGAATTCTCGGACTGGGCTGTAAGTTGAAGTACCAATTTTGGATTCACTAGCTTTTCAACACAATGATCAAATTTTAATTTAATTACCTCAGCCTAAATTCCTTTGCCAAGCTAGCTAGCTTGAACATGAGAGCGTGCTTCGTGAACCGGTACAAAGTTTTCTATTAGTGCGCTGCGGTCCACGACATTTACCAACTACTTAAAAGTTAAAAATCTCATCAACGTGATTTCCCTTGAAAATCACTTGAATTCGACTTCATCCTAAATCATCTTAATCAATTTTGGCTTGCAATTTGCTTCTTATCTCTTGAACAAGGGAAGGGCAGCATAGCATTAGCTTCAATTGAACAAGCTCAACCTTGAAAAAAAAAAATAGCGTTGAAAACGACTAAGTTGGATAAAGTAAAATAATAAATAAGGAGAACCTGCTCAATTATCACAAGCGGAAACTTTCAAACATTTCCTTCTTTGTTTTTTTTTTTTCCTTAAAGGGGTTAAGTGAAATTTATTCTTAATTTATTGAGTTCACAATTTCTAAATTATAATACTTTATTACGATACTTACAAAAATAGATTGGGCCTATGTGAAGCAGCGGGGAAGAAAAAAAGTCTCTTTGTAACTAATTGAATCATGCCATTAGCTAAGGTCATGGATGACTCGACTATAATGCCAGTAAAGCAATTGCTTGGAGCCCTAATTTTTTGGAAGCCCCATTTTTTCCCTTAAAGATGTATTGTATATGTATTATTCAAAAAATGTGCCTACATTTAAATTTAAAAAGAATTTTTGGAACGAAAGTACAATAACTTTAATGTGAGAATCGTTGTATTAGCTAGAGAATAGAATAATTTTTAATGAATTGTTTTCTTACATGGGTAGGGTAGCTATTTTTTTACGTCATTTATATCCTAACAACTAATATGTGCCCACATTATTATTGATATATTTACCTTTTTCATTCTCTCTTTTACTATTCTTATTCCCAATATTGAAAAGTCTCTCAATCGGCAGTTACCGCGGCTTACAAGTTGTCTTTTTCAAAGCATTACAACAAGCAATCATTATATTGAAGTAATGCAACACTTATTGATACCATTATATCAACTTATCTTGCTCTATAGTTTCTTACCCTTTGATTTCTGCTACTATCTTTTGTTTCTTGTACTTCGATTATCTTATTTATATGTGATAGCTACTGCTCTTTTTTAGACTACTTTATCATGACCTATTCGCTTTCGTTACTTTCATTTTCATAATGCATTGAATTGATTGTCCTTATCTGACCTCTTTTTTGTCATGCTTTCTCTTGAGCCGATGGTCTTTCGCAAACAACCTCTCTACTTCCCAAGGTAGAGGTAAGGTCTGCGTACACTTTATCTCCCCAGATCCCACTTTGTGGGTTTGCGCTGGATATGTTGTTGTATATCAACTTATCAAATTCTTGAGCCGGTTTTATTATTCTACATTTATTTTGTACTTTTTCATTGTAAATTTGTCTTTAATATTCTTACTTAGGGTCTTTTTCTGAAATTTGGTTTTAGGCCCCTAATCTTGTTGAAACGACCTTGTCTAACGTACACCCACTTTTTCCAGGAAATTTCTCTTCTTCCGAAAATCTAAGGCCAAAAACTGTCCTGTTATTATTGCTAATGAGTGTACGTAGTTTATCATTCGTATTTGGAAGATGAAAAAGTGAAAGAAAAAAAAAAGTTAGTTGCCGAAAGAGATTGCGTTAGTCAATGAAGGTGATCTCGAAATATTTCATTGAAGGTACACGATCAATTAAGGCCACCTTTTTCTGGTAAAAGACGAGTTGGATTTCACCCGTAATATTAGGGGTACAAAGGAAACCGACAAACCGTACCAACCCGGTTATATTCCGAGTCAAACCGAGAAAAAAACCCGATTATGATTTGATTTGATTTGGTTTGGTGTTGGAAAAAAAAACCCGACCATAATTGGTTTGGTTTAGTTTTAACTAAAGAGAGTCAAACCCAAACCAAACCAACCCGACATCACATATATAGATTTTTAGATATATTTAATATATAAATATACTTATTGTAATGTAATTTATAAATATTTCTTAAACTTTCTCATAATTTTATTTTTTTAAGGTATTATTTCAAGGTTGTACTTAGAACTTTTGAATGTTCCGATAAGTTTTATAGCCACTAACATTAGTAACTTAGAACTTTTGAATGTTCCGATAAGTTTTATAGCCATTAACATTAGTAACTTAAATCATGCTAACAAAAGCCCAAACCAAAATCAAATCAATATTAATACTAACAAAATACATTCAATTCAATACTACGAACGGCAATGTATTGAATATCTATTTTTTGTTTTGCAATAATTTAGATAAAAATGCATAATTTATTTTTGTTTTTTCTCTAGCGTTTAGTCATGTAATTAATATTCCCTTATTAGTCTATTTATTTTAGCATGACTTAGTACTTTTAGATTATGTTTATTTTTATTATGGCTTTTTAACTAGCAATATTTATATTACATAATTTTATTATTTTTATTGTTGAATATTTTAGGATAATGCCATGACACATCTCATATTTTGTATTATTTTCTTGAAAGATATCTTATATAGTTGTATCTTACTAGGATTAAAGAAATATTGTGAGCACAAATTATATGTTTTGTGCTACGAAGATTTTACCGGAAAAAAAAACTGAAAAAACCCGAATAACCCGAGAAAAACCGAGGTTGAAAAAATCTTGTTTTATTGGTTTGGTTTGGTTTGGTCTTTAGATTTAATAACCCGGTTTAATTGGTTTGGTTTGGTAATTGTAAAATCCGAATCAACCCGACCTATGTACACCCCTACGTAATATTATACTAGTGGATAAATATCTTAGAAAAAAAAAAGAGAAAAAACATAATTTTAATAATTATTCCAAAATGTGTCCTATATAATGGTCATCACAGTAAGCACACGTGGCAAGACATATAGCAGCTACTCCGTATCAATTGTGTTGGTGGAGTTTGCAACATTTTTTGCCCGATTCAATATTTGACGATTAAATGCAAATCTGATTCAAAATTTTAAATGAATGAAATGAAAAATACTTGAATTTGCCTTCATCCTAGATATTCATGGTAATAAATTATCCCGTTCTCTCATTCCTATCCGCCCCGTCCCTCACCCAGAGGCGAATTCAGGATTTAAATTCTGTGGGTTCAATTTTAAAGTTTTTAACATTGAACTCATTATATTTAAAGTTATGGATTCATATCTACTATTTTTACAATTTTAATGAAATTTTACTCCGCGACGAAAGTTATGGATTCAGTTGAACCCATAGGTAGTAACATACATCCGCTTCTGCCCTCACCCTAGCAAGAAAGAAAGATGAGTAGAGACTAATGATCAAATAATCTGGGCGGGACAGATATTTTATTCCTTTTTATCGAACTTTTCAACTTACCCATATCTGAGCCGACCCCCTAATCTATTCTATCTATGTATGAAGGGGCGAAATTAGGGGTCGGAAGCAGGTTTACGAGCCGGGAAAGAATCCAGTCCAGTACTTAATGATCCAGTAAATCTTAATGGTATCATGGATAAAAGGCACCGGTTGCTTAGAGTTTTAATGGTTTGGGTGCTTTTGAACTTTTTACAAATTTTTTTAGAAAAATAAACTAACAGATTTATACCTTAACATTATTTCTATAAAAAATTTGTGCATTAATTTTCAGTGAACCTAAAAAGACTAAACAACGAAGAATGTTAAGAAAGAAAAAAAAAACGGTAACACAACTATTGGAAGACAAATATACATACTCCACTTTTCTGATTTTCAAAATTGTTCCAATCATAAGTTATTTTTATTAATCTTTTGTCATTGAAACAAATGAATAAACTGACGCACCAACTTTACAGTCCTCAGTGTCTGCTATTTATTTATTTCTTGTGAAAGAACCCAAATGGTATATTAGCTAGAAAAAAACATTGTCACAAAATTCAAATGCATCCGAACCATTAAAACACTAAGTAACCTGTTAAAGATAGGAGTAGTCACGTGCCGATCACGTGAGTGTAGTTACGTCGGTTAAAAGGAATTAGTTAGTTATAACTAATTATAGGATTGGTTAGTTTAGGTGATGTAAGGCTGTAAATTAGATGCAATTATAGAAGTGTATATATACATAGTATCAGCTCATTGTAAAGATAGAGCTTCAATAATACAAGCCAGTTTTTTCTCAAATAAAAAATTCTCTCTAGAACCTTTTCTTCTGCTTTCCACCATTGTCGTCTTCACTGAAGCTCTCAAATCTTCATTATGGTATCAGAGTATCATATTCTTCCCATAAATCTGTCAACCTTGAAAAATAGGCTGACACAGTAGAAATTCCTTGCGACAAAGTTGCAATTTTTTTATGTAAAAAAAATGCGAGATCCATCTACTTTATCATATTTATCCTTCAAATCTGTCCAAACTTTATGTGCACTTGATTTGTACACAATACCACTGAGCAATTCCTTGCTCACAGCATTCATAATCCAAGATAAAACTATTGCATTACACTTCTCCCAAAGTTCATGCAACGACTTATCAAACTTATCCTTAGTGCATCGTCCATCAACAAACCCTAATT